CAACAGGTAAGAAGAGACGTAGCCGTTCTTAAATGAGAAATTACTGGTGACTAAAGAAAGAACAGGTAGTACCCGCTGCCTATGTGTCTACTCTTAACTATATAACAAGATTGATTTTCACTCTTACCTAACGCCTTCATAGCTAAGAGTATTTGCTTAGCACAGCTCGAAACTTGGACCTTCAGGTACGCAGCTCGGCACATTTGCCTCGAGGCCAAACCCGGTCCGAAATCAAGTTGAAGACACTATTTTCTGAGCATCTAATACATATAAACAGTAGATAAAATACTGGACATTGTACAACCACTTATATTTAGTTTAAACTGGGTTTTTGCTATTTACAATATCAAATATATCATTGACTTGGTATGGGCATAAGATACAATATTTTTTTAAGTTGTGTGGACATAGCCTTTTTAATTTTTATGGTTAATTTGCAAAGCTATGCAAAAAATTTGTAAGGAACTTACACATATCAGCTTGCTAACTTTCTGTTTAAAAAGTTATATAGTTTTTAGTTTCGATCAAGGCTGTCTGTTTTGGAGGATGTTTCTCATTTAGTTATTATTGGATAATGTTTTCGATAAACACATTTTACTTTAGCATGAACCAATGTTTTCCAAAGTGTATGGAACGCCTCCCCAGGAGAGATTAGGAGAGCCAGTAGTACAATAATGTAAAATTAAACGATTTATTATATTTTTTATTAATGTGCATCCATAATTATTTGTATCCATCATTCTTTCTTTCAATATTTCCTTTATAGTTATAATTTATGTATCTAATTACATCCGAAAAACAACAAAAACTTTCTTTCATTGATATAATCTATGTATCTACTTACGTCTGAAAAACAACGAAAACCGTAAGTAGATACATAGATTATATCAATGAAAGAAATTTTTATTGTTTTTCAGATCATTTCTTTTATTAGTATGATTTATGTATCTAATTACATCCGAAAAACAACAAAAAACTTTCTTTTATTGATATAATCTATGTATCTAAATACATCCGAAAAACAACAAAAATGTTTCTTTTATTGGTATAATCTATGTATGTAATTACATCCGAAAAACAACAAAAATGTTTCTTTTATTGTTATAATCTATGTATCTAATGCCATCCGAAAAACAACTAAAAACATTTTTCTGTTATAATCTATGCATCTATTTACATCCAAAAAACAAACAAAAGTCTTGCTTTTATTGTTATAATCTATGTCTCCAATTGAATCCGAAAAAAAAAACAAATTTTTTCACTGTTATAATCTATGTATGTAATTACATCCGAAAAACAAAGAAAAAATATTTTTTTATTGTTATAATCTATGTATCTAAATACATCCGAAAAACAACAAAAATGTTTCTTTTATTGTCACAATCTATGTATCTAATTACATCCGAAAAACAACAAAAATGTTTCTTTTATTGGTATAATCTATGTATGTAATTACATCCGAAAAACAACAAAAATGTTTCTTTTATTGGTATAATCTATGTATGTAATTACATCCGAAAAACAACAAAAATCTGTTATTTACTATTATAACCTATGTATTTAATTACATCCGAAAAACAACCAAAAGGTTTTTTTATTATTATAATAATATAATATAATAACCTTTTATTGTTATGACCTACGTATCTAATTACATCCGAAAAACAACAAAAATATTTCTTTTATTTTTATAATTTATGTATCTAATTACGTCCGAAAAACAAACAAAAATCTTTCTTTTACAAGGGATAGTGTGAGTAATCTTAGACTACACATCTTGTCAAACTTTTTACAGATCCTCCATTGTACGTAGGCGTTAGCTTCTAAGACCATGTTTAAGCAGAAACGAAGGCACGAAAAGTTCATGAGAGCTGCATCGGAAGACTTGGCAGGAATGTAAACAAATGGTATTGCTGCGGTTCCAGTTTCTGTAGCCATCTTACTCATGAAAACAGCTGCTAATTTTGTAGAATGATTAGAATCCTGTGAACGTATAGCACTTAAGCTTTCGTCTTTCTCAAATTCTTCATTACTACCTTGTTTACAGTACCAGGAATGTTGTTGCAGCGTCATCGCATTGGCTTCGAGGGATTGGAGGATTCTCTTTCATAATCATAGCTTGCACTTTGCGGATGAGACCACTGATTTGGACTAGACTGGGGTGTGATTTCTAAGCCCGTTGCTGTCCTAAACTCTCTAATGTACGGCTTTTTTTTTCTTCTTTGGGAAACATTGTTATGTGTCTCCCGGTGAGACAGTGTTAAGTCTATGCTAGAATCCATGGCTCGATTCCTCGAGATGGGCACAGCTGATAGCCCAATGTAGCTTTGCTACAAAATATACAAACATTGTAATGTTGGGACCTTTGACATTATATCAGTTAACCATGTCGCTTTACAAACATCCTTTCTTGGAAAGGGGTGTGGCATGGAGCTCATTTTTATAGGCACTAAGCGAAAATCTGGAAAGTATTTGATTACGTTTAGAATTTGGTTTTAATAGTATTTTACTATATTTAGGTGCGTATAATTATTGTATATTAACTCTTGTTAGATTTCTGTCGAACCGAGGGCACTGTATGTCTGTTCAATAGCTTTATGAATTTCTACTAATTTTTTAAATGAGTTTATTGACACGGTTTGTGATTAAAGCATTCCAAAACTATCGTTACAGTAAAGGTCAACATTATTGTTTGTCATAGTTCTAGCCGATACGATCACTCGAATCTAATTGTTAATAAATAACTTTTTTTTTATAACTACTAACTAATTTTACATCGTAAGTTTCAGCTGCTAATCTGAAGTGTTCAGTAAAGTTCTGAAAAGGACCATTTCTATTTCATCAGTGACTAGGGTTCGATCCTGGGTATTCTTTGTGGAAGTCTAATGCGTTTTACGCTCATCTGGGGCTTGAAGCCTCATCCGTTTATGACTTGAATCGACTATTTTAATGTTTTCAAGAGGGATGTCCAGCTTCTGCCGATTTATATGCTAGGTCGACCGAGTGTATTATCAGTTAGGTGTGATTCATACTTACTCGTATCTGTCTGATTTCTGTAACCTCTTGTAATTTATGACTTGGTAACCGCTAAGTCAAGGAATAGGAGTTTGTTCGCCTATAAATAAAACTACCAAACAGTGTAAAAAGAGAAGACATGGACTGACTAGTTTTATGAATGAACAGGATTTGTAATATTGAAAAACAAAGTTAAGTATAATACCAGAAAATCACATCACTATAATCTTCTTAACAATCTTAGTCTTAGTTCCTCCCGTTCCATTGGGAACATTGGTCAACGAGACCTCGCCATCTGCCTCTGTCATGAGCGGTCTCCACTGCTTGGTCAATGGAAACACTTTATAAAGAAGAAACAAAAAGATGACAAATACCAAGAATAAATAGGAAGACAAACTACAGACACACAACCATATTTCCCTACGTCACAGGTCTCTCTGAGAACATACAAGTATGTAAATAATATAGAGTTATGGCAGTACTCAGAAGTCACAACACAGTGTGAGATCACAACTTGTATGCACCAAACCACAAAAAAAACATTTACAATACCCCCTGATATAACTGAGAAAAATACAGACCGAAAAATGTAATATCCAGGAATTGCAGTCTGTCTGAAATAGTTCATACCAGAGAAGACCATACAAGAAACTGGGATAATATTGATGTAATAGGGTATGAACCACACATGAGAAGAAGAAAGATAAAAGAAACTTACAAAATCCACCTAATTGATAACACGCTCAGTCAATCTAGCCTAGAAGTGAACAAAACCTGGATGTCCCACCACTTGAAAACATTCAACAACAGGATGTCCGAAATGTCTGGAACCATAGGCACTTCAACGGATTTTACAGAATGTATTCCACATATTGACCTTGTAATTCGAAACAAGTTTGAATTAACAGCAGGATTAACTAGACCTTCCCATACTTTGACAGCGTAATAATCAGTCACGTATCTGAAACAAGGGAAAGCTGCAAATCACCTATGGTTCAGGTTAGTTGATTCATGCTCTAACCAGGGGAAGACTCAAACCCCAGACGAATGGATAGCACATTAGATTTCCACTAAGACCTAGGATCGAATCCTGCCCAATACGAACATTGGAATTGTCCATTTTAAAGAACTTCCCTGAACACTTCAGGAGATTACATTTACACGGTTGTTCTTTCTATCATTATCATATGAACATACTTGTGTTCAATACGCATTTATACGGTTGTTCTGTCTATCAGTATCATATAAACATGCTCATGTTCACCCCACAGTTACACGGTTGTTCTGTCTATCATTATCATATGAACATGCTTGTGTTCACCGCACATATGCACAGTTGTTTTCTCTATCGTTATTATAATTACTTGCACGTTTTCACCTCACCTTTACACTTTATTTGTGTGTCGTTATAATATTAACTTGCTCGTGTTGATCTAACATTTACACAGTTTAGTAATCTATTATTGTTATGTTCATATGTTCAAATAAAGTCTGTCTGCCGGACTGTGGGATTTACTTTTTGACATGATACATTACTAAGAAAATATGTTCTGTAACACAACACTCTGTATCGCTCAATTATCAGTTAGGGTTAGTGCATTGCACGAGCTGTTGCGTAATGACATGTGAGGTCGTTTACGTTTTTCTTAGAGTTATTTATTTTCCCTTATATATAATCATGTTATAATATTTTTTTATTTTCTTTGGAAACCTATCCTGTTCTCTTTTCATCTTCCTGATACACCTGGAAGTAATCAAATAGGATGAATATGACACTTCATTGAACGCTTTCACAACTGAAAACCGCCTTTCAATTACACCTCTTTAACTAGTGGTGTAGCTACAGCCTCAGATCATGATCGTGTTTTAAAGTCGGTCACAGTATATCAAGCCATTTACATAAGTAACTCGCATTCATTTAGTTTTGTCAGCCCAGTGGTTAGTTTACCAGATTGTGGAGATGTGATTCCTTCGTTCACGTTCTGTTACCGCTAAAACAAAAATCAAACTCTGTACTTTAGAAATGTGAGTGCGTTATAACAGTAACAGTCAAATAATGGTTGCTTTTTTTGCTCACTTTTTGAGTTTTTAAAACGTTTGTGATTCTTTCAAAGTTTTAAAGATTGTTTGTTTGTTTGAAGTTAAGCACAAAGCTGCACAATGGGCTATCTGTGCTCTGCCCACCACGGGTATCGAAACCCGGACTCTAGCGTTGTAAGTCCGCAGACATACCGCTGTGCCACTGGATAGCAATTTTAAAGAAGCATAAACTTTTTACTCGTTACAATTTTGAAGTTACTGAACCTGTAAGACAAATTGGAGAAAAAAAGATAAAATTAATTTATTTGCGATAAAAAAGTCATCATATATATATATATATATATGTTATTGTATCTTGGTGGGACAGCGGTAAGCTTACGGATTTACAACACTAAAATGCAAGGTTCGATTCCACGTGGTGGACACAGCAGATAACCCAATTTGGATTTGCTCTAAAATAAAACAAACAAAGTATTTTCAATTAACGAAAATAAAATAATAAAATCTGTTAGTTAATAAAAAGTTATTAAATTATATATTATTTTATATAAAACGCTTAACATAATCTTTGATCATATGTATATGAGTTATATGTTAACTCCATTTATCCTCACAAGAAGGGTGTGGCTAGTGGTTAGCATGTCGAGCCGCGAATCAAAGGGTCCAAGGTCTGCGCGAGCATGACAAAAGCAAATCAATCTTTGTCTGGAACTGCTAGGTGACTACCTTTTCTTTGATCAGTAGTTCAAAATTAGGAACGGCTATACGTGAACCTTAAGAGATTCTGACCTGGCTTTTTATAACAGAAGGTGCAATTTCAATGTAATGCAACCTCATACGTTAATCTTAGAGTTTAGTGAGATTAATGTCATTTCTGTTTGAATGTTCCTGTGTATCATATTAAGAAAATCACTTACTGTCAGTACTCGTAAGCGAAGATGTGACAGAGAGGAAAACCTAAGAAAGATTATATCACTTTGGAAGACAGTTTTTACATTTTGTGACAGGGAACAGTTATTTCATGTTGGGAAATATTAGACTTTTTTACGAGATAGTTATCTACTGTTTTGTGACAAACAAGAAATAAACTTGAAATTGAAAAATGCTAGACATTTTACGAGACGGTATTTACTGTTGTTGTTTCGTTTGGTAAAGAACAATGATTACAATTATATATTTCAAAGGCCTGTTATTTCACTGTGGGGAAAAATAAGAAAAACAATTATGCAAAGGTAGACTTCTGTCTTAGTAAACCTAATATGTTTTGAAGCTGAAAATCCCTTCGCTTCACATTCTTAGGAAATCCACTTTTCACTATTTCTATATACTCACATATTAAAATTTTCATGAATGAAGGTGAGCATAAAATTTCTCCGGCAGATAGCTTCCCTTAAATGAGTACATTTTACCATATTGTATTTTATATCCTAGTTTTATTTTCATGATCTTTATGTGAGATGTTTTATATTTATTGCCTCGTTTCTCAATTTGTCCTTATTCCATCCAAGGTAAGATGATGCTGTTAAAAGTAACATAACTGTTGTGTTACATTCTCTTCCTTTTACGAGTTAAAAGTAACATAACTGTTGTGTTACACTCTCTTCATTTTACGAGTTAAAAGTAACATAACTGTTGTGTTATGCTTTCTTCCTTTTACAAGTTAAAAGTAACATAACAGTTGTGTTACGTTCTCTTCCTTTTATATGTTAAAAGTAACATAACTTTATTACATTTTCTTTTGTCTACATGTTAAAAGTAACATAACTATTGTGTTACATTTTCTTTTCTTACATGTTAAAAGTAACATAACTTTTGTGTTATTATATTTTCCTTTTACATTTTAAAGATAACAACTGTTGAGTTACACTTTCTTCCTTTTACTTGTTAAAAATAACATATCTGCTGTGTTACATTATCTTCCTTTTACACGTTAAATGTAACATAACTGTTGTGTTACATTCTCTTCCTTTTACACGTTAAAAGTAACATAACTGCTGTGCTAAATTCTCGTCCTTTTACACGTTAAAAGTAACATAACTTTTGCACTACCTTTATGAACATGCATCTGCATGTGTGTAATATATACGTGTATGTATACTCGCATATATTTTGATATAATAGACCATTCTTGCGAGGTATATAATATATATCAATGACTGAAATTTCTAAGTTTTATCTGATATCGCGTGTACTAGCAGTACCGAAAGAGTCTCTGATAAGAACAAATTACAAACTTACCGCTATCTTACCGCTGAACCACTGGGGGGAGATGAGGGCTTAAAGATCCTAGCGCTAATCCATAAACATTGTTTTTGTGTCTAGATTTGTTTATAAACGTGACTGGTTAGTATGTTTTTAGTGCCATATTGTGTCAATTACACTATATGTCATTCGTGCTAGTTTATTTATTTATTTTTATGTTTGCAAGAAACGCTGCATCTTGCTCTCTCTCCTAGTTCTGTTCATTCCAATAACTTGTGTTTGTGGTTATTAATACTGTTACGTCTCTGGTCGTTAATTAATTTTCAGTAAAAATTCTTTCCGAAGAAACTTTAGCGATACAAGTCCTTTCTTAAAGAAAACTAGTTTATTATTTCTCAATACAACTTTGCAATACACTTAATTTCCACAGTCACGCTATAACTTAAACAAACGCTATAATTCACAACGAACGAATGATTCACGCGCTTGACTCAATTGTCGTCTCTATCTCTGTCTGCAATTCAATTACATTATTGCCGTCACTTCTTGGCGGTCTTATATACAAGAATACCGTATATCTAGTAAACACTCGAAGCTTCACGAAGGGACATGAATTTTCTAGAAGCTCATGACGTGTTACTAGCGTCACGTGACTTCCGCTGTCATAACAATACTTTTGCCTATGCAGGTGCTCTCAGGCAGACAGAAAAGCAAGTAGACAGATTTTAGTCTGCGTGCTAGTTAAGAAATATACATACTCATATAGCGTATTATGACCCACCACAAAGGCTTTTGTTCATTATCCAAAGTTTTTCATACTTACTTTTGAAAATCAGTCTCAAGGTCTTATCCACCATTCTCTTCTATTTTTATATTTGCTTTGCCACTCTGAAAGCAGTGATTTTAATGGCTAAGAAAAATATCGTAATAGCGTAAAAGGCTACATTTTGAATTACAACCTGTCTTATAATTTATTATATTAGTATACTCAACTTTCAAAAATATATTCTACTTATAACTTTAAAACGAAGTTCGAGAGCAATCTTCCAATTATAAGTTTTAAAATGGTATTCAGATG